AGCTTTGCACCAAACCCAACTCCTGCTACCTTCTTCCCACACATAGGACCCAGCATCACCAATAGTTCCTCCATGAAATATCCGAGCCAGAACCTTCTTCCTCCCTATCTCTTGAGTCGCCCACAAATTACACCACCAAATCTGTGGCATGCTCAACATCCACCAATCTTCCGACACTCTTCTGCACTCGTTAAGAAACATATTGCACCATTCAACCCATCACTTCCTCCACCAATAGTCCACCAACCATGCTTCACAGCTCCTCATTCCTTCCACATGATTCGCACACAAACTATTATGACAAGTGCTGTGCCTCTTCACACGCCATACATACATACCTATCTGAAACGTTCACTTACCTATCGTATCTTGCACCTGGACCGAAACTCATAGCAGGAGACTTTAACGCTCCAAACATGTTGGTCATCCTTGTCTGCTCCTGGTAATCTCTTCCCCTTCATATCTTGCATTAACTCTGGTGGTTGGACACAGCAAGTAAAATCCCCGGCTAAGAGTGGCCGCGTCCTGGACCTAAACTTTACAAATCGTCTAACGGTGACAGAGACACTAGTACGTGAGCACTTCCCAGGCAGTGATCACAAAATGGTTCATTGCATGTTTAAATTAGAATTAGCACAGACCCTTCCTCCGCTACCAGTTGTCCCACGCCAACAAATTAACTGGACAAACCTACCGAATCTGATTCGTTTTCTGGACTGGCCTGATTTCTTCCTTTCGTTTGACCCCCAACTAGCGGCGGATATTTATTATCAAAAAATTACCAGCTGCATCTGCTCCCTAACGTCCGTTCTATTAACCCGCCGCCCAACTCAATTAGAGAATAAAAACACAAAATGCAATACGCCATTCACGATTTCTCTTTCCTGATGCAAGAACATGAAGCTGGTTCCGGGTATTGATATGAAATTGTTTGAGAAAATTGGACACTGATACCTGTTTGGCATGTGCCACACTGTTTAGCCGATTGATTCGAACCGAAAAGAGATCAATTTCATATCAGTACATGGATCCAGCGTCAAAGCCGGTTCTCTGGAACAAAACCTTTTCTGATACATACTTTTATAAGTATTGTGACCCAATATACCCTAACTCTTAAACATCCTCTCCGGTTTTCCTCTGACTCAATTGGCTCAACTCCGTGGCACATGCTAACTAGGTAGCTGTGCCCACTCTATCAACTGATGTTCTACCATTACGCGTATCCACCTCCATTTTGAATCTGTAGAACTAGACATATTTTGACAACACTCGTTTACCAGTATTATGACTGGAGCACCCTTCTCAATAAGAATTTATCGTTTGCTTCTCGCTATTTCTCTCCCCAAACCCTTCTCAACTGGGCTGCAACCCAGACTGCCGATATTTGCCTCCCTATTCCAGATCCGATTGGTTTGGGCCTGACGGAGGCTTGGGATCTACACCCGTAATGGAGAAGTTGGCACGGGCAATGGTTGTTGGGCGCGGCTGTATCCACCGCTTTGACTACATGCGTCCGCATTCCGGATCAGGTAGAGGAACGCACCCCCTGCCTCATCTACAAGGTATT